CTGGCAGATGGACGCCTTCTTTCATTGTTTCCCCTCGCAGCCCCACTGCAACTTGATCTTCCCTGTTTCAGCACAAACTTATTTGGTCCCCAGCTCTAAAGCACAGGCAGTCCAGAACAGATGATGTGCAGCAGAGTGCAGTACTCATGCCTTGTTAAAGGTCTTTATAACTTTCTCGCTAGGCGGAGTCCATCGCGAACATGAACTATGGCGCAGCCTATTGAAATAGGAGCTCCATTGAAGCGCACGGCTGTTCGTTGTATAAGTACTTGTTTTATTTCACTTTTTAAAAGGCAAAATGTGGCAAACATTGGTTGATTTGCCGCAAGCGGCAAAAGTACTTCGAATGATGACCAGAAAGAGTTCCGTGCTTGCAAAGTGCTGCGCTCGTCGCGCACCGAGGAAGCCGAAAGGGCGTTGCCTGGCGGCAATAATAAAGTTACTGGATATTAACAAATTCATTAGTTATATTTTGAGGCAGATGAGGCTTCTATGTAGCTTCCAGACAGAGCGGAAGCCTTCGTTTCCTCCTGCATGCGATCGGGATCTTGCATCACTGCCACCGACTCGGGGCACAGCTCAACTGCTGCGGCTTCTTTCGGTCCTTCTGTGATTTCTGAATCTTGCTTCTATTGATATTCTCTTCAAACTTCGTCTTTTGTGCTCATTCATTCGATAGAAACGCTGATGCGAAGCAGTATTACAGACAAGCGGGCGCCTCCCTTCCCCAGCAGCCACTGCCTGCGCCGATTGGCAAAAGGAGCCACATCTTATTGAAGAGCCGCAGCACACCCAGCTGTGCTCCTCTCTACACAAATATCAGGGGACAATAGGCTTCTTTACACACCCAACTGCTAGCATGTTTGAGTTTCTGAGCAGGCTGGTGGGTCTGCTGCTGCTGCTGCAGGTGCTACAACTGACAGTCCACGGAGGATGTAGTTCTCAATGATGACTTTGTGCTTCTTTCACTTACTGCTGCCTCTTTTCACCCGCGGCGGTTGAGCTTTGATGCCTCCACAGTGGCTTCAGCGCACACCATTCATGCAGCGGCAAGCGGCTGGCTTAATTGCATGAACGCAGGCAGCAAAGCCAGCCCAGCAGCCTAATTTAGCAGCAGATATGACCCTCAAGGCCCACAGATGTGTGAATTTCTCTCTCGCAGTGCTCCAAGCACAAGAACGCTCCCCTGGAGACGGAGCTGCGCCGTCAGCGGAAGGCCCTCAAGGCGATTGACAAGTTTGTCCATAGCATTCAGAAGAGTTTAAAATGTACGCTTCCGAGGTCCACTTGTCATATTCTGGTCACTAAGCATTCAAATTCGTCCTCGGGCGCTGTCCGCTTCGTAATCTGTACAACGAAATCCAGTGTGTCCTGTCGCCGCTTATGTTTCCATGCAGATTGGGAAAGAAGTGGCAAATCTCTGCGCGTTGGCATCAACGGGTACTTTTACGACAAGCCCGTTTACAAGCGCCCAGTGGAGGAGATCGGCGCAGCCCTGGTGAGGAACTTTGCACGGATAAACGTGCACTCCGCAGTAGTGCAAATTCATATTTGGGTGTTGAGCTCGTTTCATTGCTGCGCATCCATTTCCACTTAGGTATTCCTAGCTCAGCAGTAGCTCAGCAGTAGAAAAAAGATATGAAGAAAGCTGTTACGGAACACATGGAGTCAATGAAGTTGAAGTTCTTGAAAGACTAGCGTTCCTGTCGCATCTTGTTGGCACATTATTTGTGGATGCGAGTGTTTGCGTTTCACATTCGCATAGTTGCATCAGGTTGTGTAGCAAAGTTATTATTAATTGATTTATTGCACCTCTATTTTCTTTTTTCGATCTCTGCAGGACTCGTTCAAGACGATATCCTCCTCGGTGGTGAGTCTAACCTGTGCGTGCTTGTACTTCTGGAGTTTTCCTACAGATTTTTCATACTCTGCCCTTAGTTCTATAAAATAAACGTTTATATTTTGAGTGACTTGATGCGTGTGACGCCTGTGTTCGGGTGATGTACAGAAACCACAAGTGGACCTTATCAAGGAGGCTAATGTAGCCGCGGCGAAATCAATCGCGAAGGTTGAAGTAAGGGTTCCTGCATGCAGTTAGATTTAGCTTTTGTGACTCTTCTGGGCTGCGTGACTTGCAAGCTATTCCGAGTGGAAATAAAGGCATGAACCAGCTTCGAGTTCTTTGAAAGACCGACCATTGCTCGGTCAGGGTGCCAGAAGAAGAGTAGGCTTCCGCTTTAGCTCTAGCCACCTTATTTTCGTGGCTGCTGTTGCGCGGCATTCACATACGGCGTTTTTTGCATTGTGCATTCTTTTTCTGTCTGTCGCGTTACAGAAGGCCAGCAAACGGAAGAAGGATGCGGAGAAGAAGTTACTGCGGAAGGAAGCGGTGAGCAGGAGGTCCTACCTAGTGCATTCAGATCCACCAATAGAGCGGCACATTTAGCTTTGCATCAACAAAGCCATGCGGCAAAAAGTGACCAATCTAGAATCCTGGGAATAAAGCCATCATAGTAAATGGACGGGGATTATTGGCTTCGGCGCCCACACAGTGCTTCCAAATATGCCATCGACACCCTAAGCCGTTCCTCATCTCCGCAGCGTAACGCCAAATTGTGAATATCTGTATTTATTTGTTTAGCTGGCTGTGAAGGTTGGCTCGGTTTGCAGGCGCTGAAGAAGCTCCAGCAGAAAGCTGAAACTGGCAAAGACCCGCAAGCCGTGCAGAAAGTCAAGACGGTTCGTCGGTGACGAACTCAGCCTTGCCCTTTTGAATGCATATTTGAGTTTGTGAATGTACATTTGAGCTTAAAGTGCCACGCATGGTCGGTCTAGATCCTAGAAGTTCCTAAAAGCAAGAAATAAGACGACTAACAGCTGCTCGCGCCACCTGTTGCCGCCGCTGCGCGCAGGCGGAAGATGAAGTTCAAATTGCACGGAATCGCCTGCAAACGGCAGAGGCCGAGCTTGTGTAAGCGTCGACCCATTTCTGTTTGCCCAGAGGAGCGATTTGGGCGTGACCTGCTTGATCTTTACTCTTACTAAAATTTCTGCAGTTCTGACTACCCCATTATAGAAGAAACGCTTATTGGATTAAGACAGGCTGTGTTGCATGCATGGTCTTCTTGTGAACGCAGGAGAGAAATGCAACAGACGATGAACGGAAGTGCGCCGGAGGCCGCAATGCAAGTTGCACGGGTAGGCCATTGCTTGCCAAGAGTTCAGGATCTTGACCTGTTCAGGATCTTGACCTGAACAAGGTTTATGCTGCATGTCCTCTTCGCCGCCGTTTGCTGCTGCTGCTGTTGCTGCTGATTCTACTGCTGCATTTGTCGTCAATGAGCTCACTTAGCAAGATATCAGGGGCTGCTCAGCGCTTATGACGTTGTCCCTTCACAAGCTACTATTAGCATGGTTCCCTTTGCTGGTTTCGCTTTCCACACAGCATAACAGCATTATGCTGACATTTGATGGTGATAAACTTAGTAATTTCAAGTGCAGGGTATAATGTGTCCAGCGCAGAGGTTGTTGCTGTTTGTCTTGTGGCGCCGTTTGTGTAGGCTCTGGAAGCGATGATTCTCTTCTTGGTAGGGTCAGGAGTGGATGTGGCGTCCGTGCGGGCCTCAATTCGTTTGCTGGAAGAGACACAGTACGTGTCGCCGTTGACGGCGGCTGGCCACCAGCAGCAGCAGCTGCAGCAGCAGCCGTACACGAGCAGCAAGGTGGACATGCAGCAGATGCAGCAGTTCCCCAACAGCCCGCGCAGCACCAGCCCCGCAGAGCCCATGAAGAGGACAAATTCCCAGTCTTCACGCCCCCACAGCCCCTCTGACCCTGGCTCTCAGCAGGTAACACCAAGGAAACCCTACCCCTCCGGCGACAGCCAGCGCCTTCAGCCAACAGCCTCCAACGGAAACCTTAATGACTCAGCCAGGCCCCTTGCCTCCCCCACGAACCCATTCGCGTCAGACTAACACACAGCAGATGCGCTGGGGGCGTTAATGAAAAGCAATGGCGGGGTCCAGAGCCAAGAGGGAATCGTAGGAAGGCTCCTCTTTGCCCGCAGGTGACTTAGGGCCCAATATGTGTGAACATATGTGTATATTATATGTGTACGTGTACTTGTATATATATAGAGACGGATATTGAGAGCGGATGGGGTTAAGCAGTAATGGTGAGGGGGTTAAGTGCGCTCCAAAAGGACGATCCGCTACAGTAGCAGGTAATAAGGAAAGAGAATGATGAGACCGCCATCTTCTCTGCTGTTACAGTTCTACAATTAAAGCGGTGGCGAGTTAGGGTGACGATGCAGGGAAATGAGGTCGGCGGTGCCGACTCTGCCCTCTTCGGCTGTTTATGACTTCCGAACAATTCCTTCAGTTGGAACCGTTTATGCAGTGGAACTTGCAGCAGCAGGCACACCTGTCACTGCCGGTGCTGCATCTGCAGCGGGGCCCCAAAGAGTTCTGCAGACTCTGCCTCTCGCCGCATTGGCCATTTAGGGGGCCGTGTGTGGCCCCTGGCCGCGCAGCTTTCATGCGGCGGTTTGCATGCGGGCTAGGGCCCGCCGAAAGAGCAAATTTATTTCAGGGACTGTTGCGGTGCACTGGACACTGTTAAAGTCTGTAACGAAGACCCGCGGGTATCTCTGCTTATCGACACCGAAGAAGAACGGCACAAACTGCAACACAAGCTGCAACGCCCGTGGGCAGCTCGCGGACTGCTGATGAGACTGCTGCCACTTCTGTAACGAAAGCGAGCTGATCCCACGGTCAGCTGGTGTACACCAACTCTAACTCCATAAGTAATGGACTTGCAGCGGTGAAAGGCCCGCCAAATGCATAAACCACCTGCCTGCAGAATATGTGGGCTTTCGGCGCCATTCGTTAGCCGGGGCCTACACGCGGTTGGTCGAAGTCTGATAAGGAGGAACACAAGGAAAACGGATTAAATAAAACACAAAATGATGTAACGGTCGAATAGGCAGGAGCAGCACTTACTTAAAGCTGCTTCTGCAGCTCGCCTGAACCAAGCAACCAATGCAGGGAGCGCGAGTTCGCGGCTACAGCAACGATCGATGCGTGAATATACATGACAAGTGACCCCGAGCAATAAGTGGTATTGCGTTGCTTGGACAGCATAGATGCATATTGTAGAAGTACAGAAATTGCATTCGAAGATGTTTCCAAAGTCAGCTCACGTTCAGAAAGCGAAGCCAAGTGCTTGTTGAACTTCTCCATCCGCTGCCGGTGTGTCAGCTCCAGTTGCTTCTTGATTCTCTCTGCCTCTCGCGCCTTCCGAGCCAAATAGAATGCCCTTTCCGCCGGAGTCCAGCGCGGATTCATCTCAGCTATGAAGGCCTCCAATTCATCCGCTGCAGCATCACCATTGCAGCAGCAGCGGCAGCAACATGCGCACATGAATCTAAACGAATAAAACTAGATGGAGCCAGACATGGGCAATCAGAAGGACAGGGGCTTCACTTCACTTTGTGCAAATGAATATAATGAATTGCACACGATCTGTGACACGCAGATCAGACGCAAAGACATCCAGAGAGCCAAATGCACAAGCACGGCGGACGAATACGCAATATCTGCGCATTCTACAAATGCAGCAGAGTCCAAATAGCTCAAAGAAAAGGGCAAGGAAGTAGCAACACAAAGTTAATCGAGCCAGAATGGCACAGGGATGCCGCACCTGCGTCTGAGGGTTTGGATGGATCTCTGCTGCGACTGCGGCTGTCTGTCCTTGCTTTCGATCTTTCTTCTCCCTCGTCTTGTGCAGAAGTTTGTGCAGCTGCGGATGCTTCTTCAGGGGAAGCAGCAGCTTCTGATCCGGCGTCTGCTGCTCCTGCTGCTGCACCGTCTTTGGCACTAAGGATTGCGTCTGCAGGCTTCTTGCCCTCCTGGATTGCTGCTGCTGCAGCAACAGCTTCGGGGTCATCTGCAAGCTCTGGGGGCAGATCAGCTACTGCTGGTCCTGTTTCCTCCTCGTTGTTCGCCTTATTTTTCTTCTTTTTCCGGCGTTTCTTCTCGTCAGCCGCGATGGCTTCGCTGTGTCGCTTCAGCTTCAGAGTTCCGCGAACTGCTGTTTCATAGCCCGACATTTGCGCGTTTGGTAAAAGAAGGAAACGACAATGGGAACAACAAAACGGCAAACGGAGGCCGGCTTGGCCGCAAGAAGACGCCGGTCTGCAGTAATTCTCTGCTGTCGTTATTTCAACTCGTTAACTCTTCTTATTATTTACTGAGTCGATATTTCCGGCTATTAGTTCCTCTCCGCGCTTTCTCCATAGCCCAGAAGGAATATCAACATCAGCACGAGGACCCCTGCGATGACAGACCACACCCTGCCCACTTTCCTCCGTTTAAAGTGATTGGAAATAAGAAATTCTCCCTAAATTTGAATTTGTGTCCCAGAAGTATGCTAGGCATTCACAAACCAGAGAGAGAGATTACAGGACATGGTGATGGGGCCCCGGCGAGTGGCCACCACGCATGTTTAGCTCACCTAATATGTTTGTCGCCAAATAAACCTCGTATTCCATTTTAGTTTTTAGCTGGATACAACAATATGAGCTAAAACTACGAGCTGCGGAGGGAGAACGGCAACGAGAGGAACCGAAACGGAGATAGGAGGTTACACCTTCTCAGCCATTTCCATCAGCCTGCATCATGGGTTCTCTCTTTTACAGTGCATTTATTGTTGGTAGCATCCTTAAGCTGTTCAATCCCTGTGGATGAACGGTTCTCGTGATTGGGGCTGCAGAATGCATGCAGCCCGCTCATACAGTGTCTCCAGGGTTTGAGCAGATCCTTTGGAAAATTCGGTTTCTGCTACAAGCAACCCTCAAAAGCTAATGAAGTACAATATTGAGCTTCACATTCACTTCATTATTGCTCAACCATGAAATCTGCCATTTTCTGCATCTATGCACTCCTATGTTACGCGCAAGGTGTTGGGTTCGGTGGTGGATTTTGCGCTTGCTCACAGTGAATGTCTGTTCTTCACTTTGGGTTTTGATAGCGTCTTGTAAGATGCCAGACACTACAGCTTTTCGTTCTGTGTACTGCATGTACCGCAGTAAGTATTCCGGCCAGCTGCCAAGAATTTGCACAGTTTTACTAGAGATTACGATAGATTCCTCGGCTTTACATTGGCACGCTGCTGACGACTGAGCGTGGTCACGGTTTGGGCTCCTTCAGAGGCGTCCTCGCAAATCGAAGCGGGCTTTTGGATCGCTTAAGATCCTGCACTCTGCTTTCAATTTGATGCCTACATGTTATCTTTCTGAAGAATGACGATGTCTGAAGGGTGACTATGCCACATCTCAGCGGTTCCACCTTTCTAGTACTCGCTTGAGCACCAAGCCTCTCTCTTTTGTGCTCTCGCCTTACTGCCTCCTAGCCTCGTGGCGTACAGAGGCCCTGCAGTATAATAATCTCGACACCAGATTGAACCAATGGCTATACAGCAGCATTCGACGTTTATTCTATTTTGAAGTACTTTTGAGGGCGTATCAACAGGCTTTAAACACGTTTACTTCTCTCGTTTCTTCTTCACGTATTTGCAACGTGATCGGCGCTTCTTGGTGTGGTGGGACACGCCATCTGGCAGCCTTCACCTTAACCTCCGCTGTACAGCAACCTGCAATGAAATGATAGCTTTCTGGATCAATTAGTAGTGTTGTGTCTATTGTGTTCATACGAAATCTAGTTTTGCCCCAGCAAATGATGCTTTTCGATAGCAAGCAACATCTGTAAGTGTTAACGAACTACAAGTTACTGGCTGTCGTGAATTAAAGCTTAAAGAACTGGTCACTCATTATGGCCCGTTCTGATAAGCCTCTGCCAAAGTCGTATCGCCAATCGGTTTAGAACTATTATGAGTCTTGTAATCTCCTTCACTTCCGCTGTTCAACTTGATACCCTTGCAGGCGAGACGAAACAGATTGAAATCAGTAAAATTCAAAATTTGTCGCTGGGGAGACACTTTCCAAAGGTGAACACCAATGCATTCATGACGAGCTCTAAATGAAAGTTCTGTCTCAGTAGAGAGTTCCCACGCACTGGGATGATTCCAGGCTTCTTCACATAGCAGCTTTTGTAAAGTCCACCCATTCCGTTCGATATGCGCTTCCGCGTTAGCGAACTTTTCCTAGAGGTTTATGAACCCTTCACAGCATTGCTGATATTTCTACTAGACTCCGTGCATTCCAACTCGAGTAGAGGCCGTAAGACAGAGGTATATGACCATTAGTTCAGAAGGGCAGCATGAGCGGACAAGGGTGCCTTTTGGGCCAAAAGGGGCAACTCCAGCATCCCACGCAAAGATAAAGAGGACTCCCAGGTGGCTACGGTGAAATCGTGTGATTGTATAGCTAGGTAACATCGCTATGTGTGTGTGTGTGTGTGTGTGTGTGTGTGTGTGTGTGTGTGTGTGTGTGTGTATGTGTGTGTGTGTGTGTGTGTGTGTGTGTGTGTGTATGTGTATGTGTATGTGTGTGTATGTTTGTGTGTGTTTCGACTTGCTTTTGTGTTCTTCTAGAGAAGTGTGAGACCGTGTTTTCGTCTGTTCTTGAAGTCAGCATGCGGCTGCATCCAGCTAAATCCATAGGCTGCCACCAAGGAAATTTGTACAGTGAGTTTGTCGCATCTGCAAAAGGAGTTCGGCCTAATCAGACGATAACACGGCAAAAAGCGGGACTACATCTGTGAAGCAGATCATATTTAAGAGAGTTTATGCTAGAATAGCACATGCAACCGTTAAAGAGAAAGTCTGCGTGTTCTGATTCTGAGGATGACCACGATTGTGGCCTGTTTCTTCCAGCTGCATCTGTTCTCTCATGGGCATATCTTTCTGCCTCAGTGTCCAGGCTGCGCACCGCAACTTCAGTGTCTCTCGCAAACCCTAAAGCACTGGTCACTACTGCAGAGCACACCAGGCTTAAACGCCAGGAGAGTAAATCTTTTGTGTGGAAATTGTCACCATTAATTGCGTCAACATTGGCGTTCTGAATTACGTGACTTTGAAGGCTATATCTGGTTTATACCGCAGTGCCGAACAGTAAGTTTTGCAACTGACATGCATGTGGCGTGCAACGACGATGTGATCTACCTCGAATCGTCAGCGAACGCCTGACCAGAGCCGCTCAGAAACATTAAAAGTCCGCTTTGCTATTTCTAGTTAAGTGAATTTACCTTTTTCTTGCGGAAAATTATGCTATCATTATCCGATAACAAGTCTTTCTAGCAGTTATAGGCGCTGCTCAAGTCTAGCAACTATAACCGTCTCGCTTTTTTCACATCTCGCGCGCACCGCCCAAATGAAGCCGCCACGTCCTGCTACCCTTACTTTTGCTTGGCAGATGCCCAAGAGCCTGCGGTTTGCTCGAACCACGGTTTTCGATTTCCTAGGTATATGCCTTTGCTCCCGAGCTGTAAAATCTACATTCCGAGGTAGGCCCGTAATCACATGACTACCGAGGTGCCGCGACCTCGTTGGCCCTGCATTTGAAAGTGGCTAGCGGACTTTCGCAATGCTGGATGGTATAGAAAACTTTCCTCTCAGGTTTCCTGAATCAGACACCCGCCTCGAGGCGAGACAATTCGAGAGCGCACAACAGGAAATCTTCGACAGTTAATGCAGTGCGCAGGCACTACAATGGGGCTTGCTGATGGCCTTTAGGGGAGAGCTAGCTGGCGACGTACAAGAGGTTAGCACGGTGGCACGCACATAACTTGTTACTAGCAACGAAGTGAGGCAATTTATAAGCAAGATTGCATGTGTAGACCAGGAGCGTCTGCGAATACCCTAAGGTTGGAGCTGGCGATGGCGTCGGCACCGGTGCGGGGCACTGCCTATTGTAGTGCACAGGCACTACAATGGGGCTGGCTTGCCGCGACTCCTTGTAGGTTGCTAGCTAGCTATCATCTCTAGGACTAGAGATGATGGCTAGCTAGCGACCTACAAGGGGTCGCGACACTGGAGGAGGACAGAATCCTCTCAAGGGGATAAAAATGAGAAAAATGGTCTATTAGTTCCAATGAATACGTGAAATGTGCGGAAATTATGTGGAGACTGGGGCTGGCGAAAGCGCCGGCACCAATGCGGACCTCCTCCCCATAGGGCCTAGGAGGTGAGCTCCGAGAAGGGGGCGAATCGAAGAGACAGATTTGAAAACACTTTTTATAATTGTTGTATTTCGATGGAATAAGGCTCTAAAGACCGAGAAATGGGGCTATACTAGGCGTAGTATGTAGACCTGTTAGAGGGGCAGAAAGCAGCGTAGTCGCAGCAGTAGGCGCCGCGCACTACACCTATAGTCCACAGTGGCTTTTGCTGAGACTACGCTGCTACCTGCCCACGGATAGGGCTCCCATTGAAAAGCTTCCTCCTTTCGACGCATTGTCCATGAAATAAGTACCAAATTACCAATGATACCAGTTATCTTCAAACTTTCGAATCGACTTTTCTTAAAGTTCCCCACCTCAGGGTTCTTGCTTTCGTCAGAGTTCATGCTTTCTTGGCCCTGTGCGGGGGTGGCCCGCACCGTTGCCGGCGCTATCGCCAGCCCCAATCACAGACACGTCTAGTTTACACATGCTGATTTGCCGACAGATTGTCTTACTTCGTTACTAGGAAGAAGTTTTCGTGCTCTTTCAGCGTCTCAGCCTTTTACGTGTCACCCGCCAGCTAATCCGTCATGGAATGCTGCCAGCCCTGCAGGCGACGGAAGCTAACGGATCCAAGCCGCTACGTCTCTCAAGGAGCAAGATGAATTCGCGCCTGAAGACATCTTGGCTGACGGCGGTTCCAAGCACGAAGTAAAGCTGAGCATCCTGTAAGGTGGTTAGCTGGCTCCCAGGTGGCTTGATCTTCAGGGGCCCCCCGCCACTTGACGAGTTACTGGGCGTCGGCTCCCGAGCCACGCTGGTTCATGATATAATCTACCTCATACTCCTCTGTTCGATTACCTGTTGCATCGCGGATAGGGCGCCAGGCGGCATCGGCTCCCTGGGGAACCAAGTCGAGAGGGCGGCGGCGACGGGGAAGTAAATGCGAAATATGGAAAACGTTGTGGCATTCATAGGTAGGAGGAAGATC